AAACGATGGCGCTTCTCCAAATAATGTTCACTCCTCTCCTATCTAGATTTTCTTAACATACAATCCCGTTATTCCCGATGCAAGATTCTCAACAGCAATCATGTTCTTAAATAATTAAACACACGTTTACCTTTCAGCTAGAATTTGCCGTACTTCGTTTTTTTGTGGGGCTTAACGTCCGTATTGGTATCGACGTCGATCTGGACGCAACTCTACAACATAAAGTTATCTACAATATTCGATCCTTCTGATATATTTCATTTTCCTCAATATCATAGAGGTGCTGCATCCATACTGGGATCGTAATACCAATTTCATTTTGAGGGGCCACCTCGCTATATAATACAGCGCTACAGAGTCCCTTGAAGATGGAACTGATATTGCTGCCCGGTCATAGTCGTATCACTTCACGGCTTTACGAAGTAAATTCACATACCATTGGAATTAGTGTGAATTATTATCAAATTGCTTACCAGTCCACGAACTAAAGTGTTTATTGATAATGAAAAAGAGAATCTCAATCCATTAAAAGTACTCGACGTTATTCCCGAGAACTTTGAGTCTAATACAGGTCACTGAAACTGGGGTCGACTTTTAGGGGAAAAAGCTCCAACCCTTGTAGTCACTCCAAGGATACCGAGGGACAAGGCGGGCGACAGAATCAATCGGCAGGCAATGCTCGACGAGAAGATCAAGAAATTTCTCGCGGTATATAAATTCACGAATTGCCAGTTAATACAACTAACTCGTCCTCAATTTAGCAGCTATCTTGTCTTTATTATGTATACACACCTGCATACGTATATAACGCAATATATTATACCATCATAGTACGCCCACTTACAGATCCACACACCTATATACTCTTCTACATAACTATGTGCACTGCCGTCCATAAGTACCTTAGGTATATATGTGTATGTTCAATATTATACTCGTTCCATAGGAAATAGTAATAAAATGTGCTTCAACTCAGTGTAGCGTAAAGATCAAACTTTTTTTTTACTAGATATCTAGATAGATATTTCTTTTCGCATGAGTGTTTAATGATAGTTTAATATTGCCAAAATTATAAATGTGCATACGTATTTATATTCTGATGTCATCATTATACCAGTATTTAAGACCGAGTAGAAAATCTTATAACTTTTATACGAAATTACCCATAGAAGAGTAGAAAACTTGACAATATTTTTATCGTGAAAGCCATATTATGCGTCCTGTACGCCTATGTTGACTGTTAACGAAATACCCTTTTGTATTTTGTCGTATTTAAAATAATTTTGTATTACGAATAGTCTCGTCCAATCAGAGACAAGTATTGCATAGCTCAATAAAACACAATTTAACTTCATATAATGTGACATATTTTCATTTTAGTTGCACTTCAAAAGTTTAGCGACACATTTCTAATTGTTTAAATATTTCAAACAATATTATTGACAGTTCTTTATTTCATGAATTCTCTTACGATCTATATCTCACATTGGGAATAAGAAATATGACGTTTCTGATGCATTCATTTTTTTTGCAATTATTGCAAACGGTTGTAATTTTTCTCATTCGATAAAGTCAATTAAATGCATTGCATGTGGAAAAAGTTTAATGAATCGTTATTGCAATACAATTCGAATTCAGCATATATATTATAATAAGAAGAAATCGGAAATAGCTGCATTTTTGGCATAGAGCTTGGTGGTTTCGAATAACAGAATAAGTAGAACGAGATAGAGAATACGCACCTTAATGTTTATGATATGAATATGCGAAAAAATTCTTAAGGATTTTGCAAAAATTGTTCCAGTGGTTTCATACTTTTGGACGGCAATGTACATCTCAGTATATTTATATCTATGTTCATATCTATATATATATTGATGTCCATGCGTACGCGCGCGTGTATATGTATGTGTGTACAGGTACATGTATATGTGCATGCGTGTACGTATTCTGTTAATTGCTATACGCACATACACTTACGTACTCACCATGCACATTCGTGAAAACAGCAAAACTCAGATTTATCAAATTCGCATAATTTTAACACGATTAAACACATTTTCATGATTTCTTCTTCTGTCGACCAGATATTTCATGTATTTTACCCATTCGTTATTTTCTTTGCTTTTTCAAACTATATCGTTCTCGTGGTTTCTTTCTTATATACTTTCAATAGCACTACTATTATTTAAACTTTGCATCCTACGATTGGCCACTGTTGCATTGTCGCAGATTTTTATCAAGTACAGACATATATATATGAGTCCTAGTGATATAAGGATACAAACACACTAATACCCTAATGCATTCATTTGTAATCGCGCATTTTTTATCTCAATACTTTACATAACTTATACTATAGTCTTGATACAGGCTGTTGCAAATGTCAGGAAATTTAGAGACATTTGATTGTCTTTCACATATAGACTGAAAAAAATGTTAATCGAAGATTGCCCGTACAGGATGATATAAGCAAGAGTAGTAAGGTGGTAGAGCATTACAATTTTTTGTTTATTTGAATCACTACAAAGGTTTTAGAACATTGGGCTTAATCTAACAACTAGGAACAAGTTGTAGTCGTCATTTAATATAACTTGTATCATTTAGGAATTTTACCCATAAAGAACTATACTAACGAGAGACGTTTTACCTTATATGCTTATATTATTTAAAAAATTACAAATAAGACTGGTAATATTCTTTATTATGACCACAAATTTGTCAAGTTATCATTATTTTGTTTTAGTCTGTTTTTATTATTTATTGATCGTAAGCGTTTCATTATTTTACAATATTCACAGTTTCCAAGAGAATGGAATTTTGACAATTTCTCTATTTTTCTTCTGTCTTCCGGCACCACTATTCTGTTTTATAATTAGGAATAGGACTATGTCGGGAATTTAAAAGCAATTTCATAGAGTATATTTGTAAAAAATTCTAAAAAAATGCGTGTTTATATTTTTGAAAATTCTATACTAAACAGTATGGAAATGATTGGATGTGACGTCACAGCCTTATATGTCTTTATGTAAAGTTTAATCTAGTTATTCACAAAATTTTATTCATAGGTTTTCTTCATAATATTTTTGTATGTAATATTTCATAAATGAGATGATATCTAGATTCAATTGTGAACCTGGAAATGACACAAGTACAATATACGTTATACTTATAAATTTTCATTTTACCTTTGACGAATATATCGCATCCATTTTTAGTATCTGATAAATTTTCAAGTATGTTCAGGAGTATATTTCCTCGTTTTGAAAAATAATTTCGTTGATTATTTGTGTAATGTTTTCCACAAGATTTCTATCCCTTACGTAGGTATCGAGATAAATGTTCAAAAATATATCCATGATGGATAAAGCTTTACGATAAATATATTTTGCGGAATGCTTTTTTTTCTATTGGGCAGTTACATTTGTACGATAAGGCTTTCACCGACACGTTCATTGTCTATCTGGATATTTAAATTACGTATACCATTAACTTGAAGTTATATTCATAGAGACATTCTAAAACAAGTCCTTCCTTACCGTTTTCTTCTTTGTCACTAGTGTGAATAGGTCTAAGACACTAACCTAGGGACCTTGTTGGTAAATCGGTTTTCGAGTTTTCTTAAGAATTCTAGCAAAATTCATTTGGGATTCTAAACTAAATTATTCGTCTCTCTTACTACTATTTAATAGCTTATTTACTGTTGTTTTTAAAACATATGCAAAAAATTATAATACCACGCGCATAATAATATTTAAAAACTGCACAAGAATCGTGATTAAGGATAATATTAATTAAATCAAACATTAATCCACTCATAACAAATCTACATTTCTCTATTATCTAAATGCTGCTACTTCAACTTTTATCCTAATAGCAATGCAGTTTAATTGCATTATTAATATCAATATAGGAATTTATTTTACAATATATAATATATGTACATGTGTCTATACTTCTTGAAACTGAAACATTTTCTTTAACAGTAAATGTCTGTATCGACATGCCAATGTATCTTAATCATGTCATTCGTTGTTGTCTCTTATAGTTATCTTTAGTTTCGGGATATTAAAAAAAAAATCCGAAAAAGTTTTTTGTCACCGTGCCAAGCTTTAGGGCTTCTGAAATAAACATTTATCGCAGCAAATATACTCCCTGTAGACTTATACATTCGTATCTCATAATAAATATGGGCAACAATTCTGTAAATGCTATAGTATCAAATACGGGATCTAATGCAAAAAAATACCGATGATAAAACTTATTGATAGAATGAAAATTTATCCGATACATTTGTCTGAAAGCGAAATTGAAATCAGAGACGTGGAAGTTAAATTAAGATATTAATGAAAATACTGAAAAGCCTTACTTGGTAGCAACACACACTTTCACAATCATAACCACGGTATTGCAGTTGCTGTTGAATTGTTTCCTGTCAGTTCCTTTGACTGTTTCATTTTTCCAATCACAGCCATTATGCTCCTTTAAGCCTGCGGCTTACCACCAATCAAATATTGAAAGATCGAGATCACCTTAGCTATATTTATGGGCATGTCTTATGACAGAACGCTATAGCAGCCTTTCGTGTTTTCATTTAATTCACGTCGCCTTCAATTTGCTCCACAAGACAATACACAAATTACGTTACTTTTCTTCACCTTGCCTTATCTTATCTACGAAACACGGTAGGCGGATGGACCCCTTTATCTCTGAAGGATAAAAAAAAATGAGAAGGTTTCTTTACAGGAATATATCTTAAATAATGTGCAGTGGAATAATTCTTAAGAAAAAAGCCTAATAAATTCTGGAATGAAAGCATGAATGGTGTGATTTTTGCATCGCGAAGGAAGCATTGAGTTAAGAAGACGAGGGTGGCATAGAAGCTGGGGTGGTTTGATAATAGGATGAGAGTGAAAGTGTATGTACGGGAGAGAGTGAGAGGGGGGAGGGAGGAACAGAAAGAGACGAAGTAAAAAATAGAAAGTTTGAATGCACCGTAGGGAAGAACGGGTATTACCACACGGGAGGGATGACGACGATACCGGGTGGGACTCATAGACACGCACCGCACAACGGACATCGCGTCACCGACTCGATAAGCATCGAGTATAACGGTCACCATCCACCACGGGAGCCGCGAAAAGAGGAGAGCACTCTCGTCCGGCGGAGCTTTCGAAGAAGCGGCGACGAGTGGCGTGCAGACAGTCGGAGGTGTGTGAATGGACCTCGTGCGAGAAAACCTTCTCATTCTTTCTCCCCACGTCGGAATGTTCGAGGTGATCGAGGATTTTCGTTTCTAGCACCGTCTTTCACTATTGCCCTACGTATATTTATTTATTATTTATTGCGTATTATTAGCCGTTACTTATACCTCCCGCGTATACTGACTTGTATAGCGTTAATCGCAAGTAGCGGCTCGTTCCGCTCTCGATGTTCCAGTATACCGTGGAAGGGAAGGAAATTGTTGAAGTTAGGTTAGATTGTGAGACGGAAAAAAGCTCACGAGACATCCGATCTATTGCAAATATTGGAAATGGTTGAAATAATTCAGATCGTCCTCGATCACCGAGAATGAGACCGTCGACGATAACTGCGCGCTGGAAAATCTGATAGGGCAAGTGTATCCCAGGTTCACGGAGCGAAGGGGGAAAAAGACTGTGCGATTTGATGGGGGGACCAATATTGGAGGTTCCCAGGAGGACTGGTCCTGGGAGGTCGATCGTCAGGGTAGTCAAGACAGCGCGACCAAAGACTCCGGCATAGACACCTCCAGCACCTTCACGAGCAGTGAAGACAGCAATAGAGGCGACCTGCCCAAGGTACGGGCGTGGTCGACTCTCAAGTCAATCGTTAAAGTCTGTTGCTGTTAGATCGCTGCCACAGTATTCTCAGATTCATGATTCATGCAAATATAGCTACTATCGGATGCCGAGCTTGCGCGCCCAACCTGTTCTGCGAGTTTATCTGATTGTAATTGTGCCTCTAATTATCAGAATCTTTGCTCTCTGACATTTATACACTTTCTCTCTCTTTCTCTCTCTCTCTCTCTCTCTCTCTCTCTCTCTCTCTAGATCGGAAGAGCACACGTCTGAACTCCAGTCACTTAGGCATCTCGTATGCCGTCTTCTGCTTGAAAAAAAAAAAAAACTTTACCACGAGATT